GAACTATATTAATCAATTCTTGTCTTATTTGAATTCAAAGGAGAGGTATTTATAAGAAAAGATTTTGACTCTAACCATGAATCATAATCATATTAGGATTGTTTAGAAAACCCTAATTTGAAAATCTTAATACACAACATAAGCCCAAAAACGCATAAGAGGCTATTAAGGCCTAAATCACTAACTTAAAAAATATTTAAAATATAAATGCAATGAAAAATATAAAAAATGAAGCTTGATGAACATAAGTGGACACTAATTAAACTAATTAGATTGGTCATCATGTAATGCATTACATCAGCTCATGTATGTTTGAAAATCCTGTAGAAAATCTATTTTGAGTTGTGCCCAAGGACATTTTCCTTAAGAACAATCCCAACAAGTTACAGCATCTAAAATTTTTGTTATCAGATTAGATTATATTAACTAAAGGAAATTAGAAGTAATAAACAACATGAATGGACTAGGTGTAAGGTGGAGCAAGATTTAAGGCTTAAGAGTATATTTGAGGGAGAATTTTAAGTCCTTATCCATAACCATCCATGGTTGTAACATAAAGGTGATCACTATACGTGGACGAGTATCACTAGAAGAGGAGTCTGCTCTTTATCCATAATCGTTTGTGATTAACTCTTTTAGTAGAGATAAATATTCATAGTTATGGAAAAAGGAAGCAAATCTAGTTTACGTAGCTTCAACCATCTGTGGTTATGAAATACATAGGCCACGAGCGTTTATAGTTGTAAATGTAGATAAAAATCCTTGTTTTGAGAATCAAATAAGAATGTAAGGAAAGGAAGGGGAAAAGGAGAGTAGCAAAGAGCTCTCTAGGGCATCAATTTTTATCCACTTGGGAGTATTTTGGGTCCTTTAATCATCTGGGTAAGCTCCGTAATCCTTCCTACTACCTTCCTACATATTTGTCTTGGAAGATTTTTAGGTTTGAGAGTTGTGATTTTTGGACTCCAAGGTTTGGGTCTAAATCTAATGGCTTGAATGGAGCTATTGAGAGTTAATTTAAGTTTCTAAACTTTGAATTGGTGATTTTATGACATTTAAGTGTTGGGCTTTAGGATTTAGACAAACTCTAGACCAAATTTAGGACTTTAAGAGCAATGTGAGGCATAATCTAGTATTGTTTGAGTTTAAGAAAGCTAAATAATATTAATGGAACATTGTTAGAGCATTGGATTGGTTAACCATAAGGGTTTAAGATTATGGGTAGTTAATTTGAGCTAGATAATGGTTATGTTAGGACCAGTAACTAATGATTAGCACTTAATTGTGTAGATTTTAGTTGCTTTAAACTTCTTTAAACTTGTGAAAGTTTGGGAAGCTTTGGGATTATGCAGGTAACCATTTTTGATTACAAAAAGGTGGAGATAACTGAACAACCTACTATATTTATTAGCTTGTCAATTCATAAATGAGCTTTTGTGAAATTATTATCTATGTAGAATATGTGTGCACATATGGTGTGTGAGTTAATCTTAAAACATATGTGAAGTGGGTGAATGGTTTTTCTTTGAATTTATATAATATGTGCCAACGTAAATAAGGCTATATTTTTGTTCTATGATAAACATGAATATGATTATGGTGATTGTAATTAGATTATGGGATATGGTGATGCATGCTTGTGTACAAGTGAGGGTGGGAGGTTCACCTTAGGTAAGGAGTAGTGCAAAAATCATATAGTACTCACTGACATTGTGAGTGGCCCTGATGTTCAGCATCATCCCTATTTAGAAGTCCTAGCTAACCACAGACGGTAGTTAGGCATACAACACCCTAATTATTTGCAAAAGGGAAATCCATGGTCCAGAAGTAGAGTGTAATCTTAGCCGGGTTGCTTGACCTATTTGGTGTGCTCAGGTCTGTCTAGTCACATAGACTTGACCCAATTAAGTTTAGCCCATAGATTCAGTTGTTGGCATTAATGAGGTTCGAATGGAAGTGGAAGCATGCATGTGTAAATGGTGATATATTTATAATGAGTTATGCTTTAATTATATGTTACACTATTTTTCTCCCTCTTTACATACTCGTTTGTGTTTGGGTTAGTTGATAGATAATGTAGTTTATCTAGTTACTGGGACCCTATCTCACTCCATGTTATATATTTTAAGATGACTCAGCTGATAGGAGCAAAGGGAGAAGTGACTAGGGCAAAGACTATGGTAGATTTCTATTGTTATAATGCCTCAGGCTTTTGTTTTGGAATGTATAATTGAATACATGCACACATGCACACACAAAATATATACTATATTGCCAATTAGTATGCATAATTATTTTGGTTATACTTGCATGAACTATATATATGTTGTTATAGTGTAATTTGGCTTGAATATGTGATTTGATAAGATAATTGTATGGTGAGGCCAAATTATTAGTGCAAATATATGTTTTGATATGAAAATATTGATGTCATGATTATTTCGATGAATTATTTAGCCAAGGGATTATTATGGTAAAGGTGCCCCTTTATGTCTATTTTTGGGGTTTGGGTGGCCAAATTTTCATTTGGTCTATGATATTATGACTATGATTGATTTTTTAGGTATGTGATGTTAGATTTTTTCTTGGTCCATACCATGCCTTAGAGACGGTTAATGGCATTCAGTTTGGGTTTTGAACTTTTGGATGCCAAAGGTTGTGTTAAAGTGACTATTTTGCATATGAGTTGTCCAATTTCTAGACAAGTTATCTTTTTAAAGTGAAATCAATTCCATTAGGTAGCTCTTCAAATAAGCTTCGTGTGGGTGTTGGAACTACTCCAATCGAACATCTGACAACAAAATGGTGCATGCTAGAAGTTAGACTTCCAAAGCTACCATGATCACTTATGCTATCATGACTGCATCATATGCTGCGGCTTACATGACTTGCATTGTAGGGAATAGATCAAACCTTAAGGAAAATTATTGTTTTGTCCAATTCTAATTTATTGTTCCTCATTTCATCCTTCTGCTTCCTAATTACATTTAACTCTAATTTTAAAATATGTTGAGCTCAACTAATGCTTTAGAAAATTTCTTGGGATCTCAGTTCTTTTAAAAATGTTTTATATTTCCCTTAATTGGATTGAAAGTGTAGTCTTATCTTGGTAACGTCAAAACGAACATTACAATAGTTGTTGGAGTTCCCCAAAATTAAGCAAAAACCTTCTATAAAATAAATAGGGTGATAGAATAACAAAAGATATAAAATAACTAAGGAGAAGCATGAGGGGGAGGAGAGCAATGTGTTTGAAAGCTTTGGACTAAGGTCACCAATTGTACAGACTACATTGCCTTTTATAGGTATAAAACTCATAAACACTAAGCAATTAAACATTCGTTAATGACACCTTAATGTATTTAAAAAACGGTTTCAGAAAATAATAATTTTTAAACCATAAGTTAAAAAATAATTAGATTGAATGATAATTAATATTATTAATCAAAATAATAACTTCTTTTGAAATATTATTAAAATATACAACAATGGAAGCTTTCATTAAGCCCATTAAGTCTCTTCAATTACTACTCACGCTCATAAATTCCAATGATACATTAGGATATGCATTTGGACTTAAATTAGCAAGATTGCAACTCAATTTGCCTCCTCTAAGTGTATATTTATAAATTGGGCCTCTAATATGTTGATGTGAGCCTTCAAGTTGTAACATAGCCTTTGGAATATAGATACCCTTGCTTGGGCTTTTCTCTACTTGGATGATTTGAGTTTGGATGAATTAATGCCACCTAAAACTTTATTGCCACATATGCTACCATTCAAGACTTGATTGCGACATAGGATGCCAACGCAGATTCCAACCAGGTCATCACACAAGATCACATCAATTAAAGTTTGGAATATAGGTAAGGTCTGATGGACTACTTTTTAAGCCTCTCTTTTTAGGGTTCTAATTTTAAAAATAAAAACTTATGCCATTTTTTGTTTCGTCCCTAAAAAATAAAAATATTTTTTATTTATAAACTAAATTTTAACTTCAGCATATATACTTATATTTTAAAATTGAAATTTATATTTATGAATTTTTGGACATTATAATTTATATTTTAAAAATATGTAATATTATAGTGTAAAAATTAAATTTTTAAAAATTAACATTTTTAAAAATAAAAAACAGGTTTACATGCCTTGCTCTAAACCCAATTTGCAAGGCAAAATTCAAAGAAATGATCATTTTAATTATTTAAAGTTTAGAATGTATTAAATAAGAGTTTAAAATTCAAATCATCTCTATACTTATAGTTTAAAGTCTAAATTATATATTAACCCAAGAAAGAATGGAACTTAGATTTTGAAAAGGAAAAATGGAGGAGAGAAAGAAATCAAAAACTCACGTGTCTTTATTCCTTTTAAAATCTCTACTCATTCTCTCTTCAAAAATAAAGAGATTTTGAAAGGAAAACGTGCATTTAAAATTGACCCAAATGCTTTCCAAAGCTCTAGGCCCCTTTTCTTGAGTTGAGCTGCGCTCTTACATAACAACAGTGTTCACCTACGGTGGCGGACTCATGTAGAACTGGAAGATAGAGGAAGAGAGTTCATCGGAGTAACCGGAGAGCTAATATGGGCCGACGACGGAAAAAGTACGTGTGTGAGGTGAGGAGGTAGCTTCTATCTCTGCTTATGGATTCCTACTTTGGGTTTTCCATAATAGTTCCTATGTTTTTTTTTTTTGGGCCAAAATCATAGTTCCTATGTTTTATTGACTAGGATTTGCACTTCATTTTCAAATTCTGTTAAAAGTTCAACCACATTATGCCACGTGAATGTGTGTAGACATGTGGGGGGTTCTTTTTAGTGCGGAATGATAATGCAAGCATAAAAGATATTTGAAAAAATCCATGATATTCAACAAGACCTTGCAATTCCATCATTTTCAACCTCTCACAAATTTGTAATTGTGAACACTTAAAAACAGAATCTTAAGGAGATGAAGCACTCATGGCAATCCAAAAACAAAAAACAAAAAAACAAAAAAATTAAGATAGGTACACTTCAACTATTAGACCAGTGCTTAGTATCACAATTCACCAAGGAACTAACACCAAACCAGTGCCAGACTGAAGACCTTTTTCAAGATATAACATAAAAGATGACCGGTTAAAATCTTTGAATGCTTGCAATAGACAAAAGTAGGCACTCACCCAGTACATCTCATGGTAGTAATCATCAAGGGGTTCTCAATCATATGGTGGGGGACAAAATTCACACAGATGTAAACATGCAAAAAGAACTTGACAGATAACCACCTTATTCCAAATTTTCACTGGATCTACGATATGGCATGTATCTATGATCCTTTGCAGCATTCCTCTTCCTCCTTTTCTCAATAAATGCTTGTAGTTTTCCGGAAGACTGATAATAAAGTGCAAATATCGAGTTAGTAAAATTTAAATGACAAGATAAAATGAGGGCTGGTTGTCCCCAAGGTATACACAATAACATTCTGAAGGCCCACGCAAATGCATACCTTGAGATCATTGTATTTTTCAATAAGCCTTTGCTTCCGGATTTCAGCTGCAAGTGGAAAAAAAAAAAAAAAACACTAGTCAGCTTTTGTAGTTGACGTTTGGATATGCTATTTATTTTATGTTTTATAAACTTGAGTGCATTTGTATGGCACCAATTGAATGACATCTATAAACACGAATTTCCAATTAACCAAATTAGATGTGAAAAAGAACTAACCTGCCTTAGAATCAGACAACATATGAATATGTTCATACCCTGAAGCATCTAACAACTACTGCAGAATTAAATTTAAATAATGTTCTTCCAAAGATAAGCACTACTATGGCTTTTGACACTTTACAAACTCAAATAAGGCAAATACTTAATCACCAATGCATCTCATCGCTACTTCCAATTTCCAAAGCAGTATATGCTACAAGTACAGTTAATATACTACAGAAAGCCAAAAAGTGAATAGAATTACTCAATATCATCAATTACTTGATGGCAATATATTAATAATCTATCTAACAAAGTTGCATCAACTCCATAAATTAGATGCATGATTAGTCTTTTAGACAAAAAGGAAGTTGACATTACATTTCTTGAGATAAAAGGGACGTTTGCCTAGCCTTGCTGCTTCTCTCTCTTTCTTCTTGTGTTTCATCAATATCTCTGCATCAGGTCTCTTGGCTGAATTAGACTTCAACTGTTTATCCTGGAAAAACATAAATCAAGTGCGTCACATTTCTGTTAAGAAGACGAGCTTCAAAAATGATAATTGGAATAAATAGTTGGAATTTGGCAAAGTCTACAGCAAATAGACAAATACTTACAATCCAAGATATGTGCTCCTCTATTTCATTGATCTTATTTGGATCTTTAGATTTCTTCAAAACCTTGAGCAAAGCCTGTTATGCACAGAAAGATATCATGGAATAATTTATCAAAGTCATGGAATAAACTAGAGACAACCATACAACAACTTTCAGGAAGACTACCTGTTTCTCAGCAGGAAGGTCACCTTGAAATAAAAAATTATATCGCTTCCTAAACCTGTAAGTCCAAAAATACACATGATTTTTTTGGTGCAACATAATTCCAGAGTTCAAACACACACATGCATACGAAGGCCTCAGCCAAAAGTTAATTACTGCATGAAGGTAAAACCATCAAATTATGCATTAGCTAGCAACTAAAATGTCTTAAGCTACAACACCTTAAACATCCAAATAATGTGTAATATTTAGGGTTGAAGGGCATTTTTTCCCCTAAACTATTTGCTTAGGAGTGTCTAGTATTCTAAAATTACATGTGATGCAATTTTCCCCTTCAATATTTGAAAATTGTGCATTGAGCACTTTACCATTAAAAAAGTTAACTTTGACCTTCAATTAACCCAAAAAATTACAGAAAATGACCTCAAAAATTGCAGAAAATGACACAAAATTACAAATAGGTATCCTATAAGAAAATTAATATCGATTGAGTCCCTAAAATAGTATGATAATTTATAAGTCTTACTCCAAAATTTACAAATAGTGTTCTTTATAAATGAACACAATTTTTACGCTAGCTATAAATTTAAATTTTGGAGGAAGAGTTATAAATTATCACATTATTTTAGGAATTTGATTGATATTAATTTTTTATAGGTTACTAATGCGTATTTTTTAAGTCTTTTTTTAAAATTTTTGAAGTCCTTTTATGCAAATTTTAAATCAATTAATGGTTCAAGTTAATTTTTTTAACGACAATGTGTACAGTGCACTATTTTCAAATGTTGAAAGGAGAAATTGAACCACATGTAAGTTTATGATACTAGGTACTCCGGAGCAAATAATTGAGGGGCAAAAATGCCCTTTAACCCTAATATTAATGAGCATTAAGGGTCATTTTTGTCTCTGAACTGTACATGAAAGATCACAAATACCCCTAAACTCAACTATGTGTCAATTTTGTCGCTCAACTTTAAATATTCCCTTCCTCATCACCCTATCATTTTCTCACCGCTAGTGGGCCCCACATTATATTTTTTAGTATTTTTTATCATGAAATATTTGAATTGAAGGGTAAAAATAACCCTTCGAATAGAAGTTAAGGGGTAAAAATGACCCTTAGCCTGATAAAAAAAATATTTAAAAAACGGTGGGACCTAATAATGACTAATGGACGTTAAGTGTTTTTAACGTTAAGGTGATGATGGAGGGAATCTTTAACGTTGAGGGGCAGAATTGACCCATAATTGAGTTTAAAAACATATGTGACTTTTCATGTATAGTTTAAGGATAAAAATGACCTTTAATCCTATTACCATGACTTCATATAAAAGCTGGAATGGTAGAGAAAACATAGGCAGTGACAATATAAATTTTAAGATAGTTGAACTCAAAAACATGAATAACAGGAAAGAAACTCCTAAGTAATGCTTGTTAATTGCATATCCACCTTATAAACCTATGGAAAAGGTTTATCACTGAAAACAGTCCGTCATTTCCTTCCAACTAGAAAGACCAAACAGTATTAGGTGTACAGTTCATATGAATTTGAAAGGTAACAAGAAGCCTCAGAATACTATACAACCAGAGAAAAAAAAAATAATATTGATGTTAGCTTCATAACAATAGTGAAAAGACCAGACAAAACATACATGATGACAGTAACCCTAGTTAAAATACACTCAGAATATCCATTCTAGTACAAAAACAATTATCAACAAAGAATGTAAGATGAAACTTAAAGAGGAATTTTTTTTCCCCCTGAAAGTCTGTTGATAAATGTTACTCATATAGCATGATAAAAAGTAAATGATCTATCAACGCAAGTGTACAAGACAGCATAAAACAAAATGGAAAAGCCGGGTAACAAACATTCAGAGATGAACTTACCCATCAGGGTCGAGTTTACCACACAGAGATTCAAATCTAGGATCTCGTACAACCTGAACAAAGTTGAAGGTATTCATGATACAACTAGAAACTCCAGATAGATAGCATGGGAAGATAATAATCATACCAATGTTATATAATTTTAATATTGAAATACTAGTTGCTGTTATTGTTAGTTAGTTACTGTTAGTCAGTGATTAAATAATATAGACGTTAGGATCTTTAGGGGATTAGAAGCCTATAAATACTATGAGACACATTTGCATCCTACGCCATTCTAATAATAATGATCACACTACTCAGTCCTTCTCTGTTTCTCATTCTCTTCTCTGTCTATCTCTCTGAATTCTCTCTACATTCTTTTCTTCTCTCTCTTTTCCTCTCTTCCTCTTTCTATCTCTGTCATATCATATTCACAACCCTAAATTTGAAGACTACAGTGTATTTACATAAAAGACTTCCATATAATACACCTCACCTCAAGTAACTCATATGTCATATCTTAAGTTTATACAAATGCTGGTGAACAAAGTAAGTTCAACTGAGTAAAGTGTGTTTTTGCTTGTAAAGAAAACAATAAGCAACAGGACGAAATAAGTCATCCTCTTTTACAAGATCCTGCAACTAATGTTGCAAACTTCTAGCAATTGCAAGAGCTAAAAGTATAAAAATACAAGCTAGAAACCCCAATTAATACTTAAGAAAACAGCAAAGTCAATTCTTCGCTAGAAGTGTAAAACATAGAATAATATCAATAGAAGTATAGAACTTAGAATACTGGCAAGTCAATTCTTTGCACCACTTGGATTGATAAACAAACTTACTTTCTTAGGAGCTTGTACAACATCTCTGAGTATAGGAACGGGCTTCTTGCAACTGACCTCCATTGGCCTAGTGAAGCACAGAAAATAGTTAGTTCTTTGAAGCTTTTCCTACATCAGAAATAAGAATTACATCGCTACTCTGTTACAATACCTATTCTTGTTGGATCTCTTGGACTTTTTCTCCACGTTAGTCTTTTGAAAAATTGTATGTGACCCATTAGCCCGTGCTTTCTGCAACTCCTCAAACGTTACATCAGCCAGCTCCTGCTTTATCTCCTCCTCCTATATCATCAAAACAGCAGCTTTTCACTATAAAAGTTGGTTTGATAATAGAGTTCATAATTTAAAATTATTTGCAGTTACCCACATCTTCTGAGGAACTTGAAGAAGATTGTTCACTATCGCTCTCCTCAAATTGGATTTTGCTGGATTCAGGAATTGTGGTTCTGTGATTCTTCATTTTAACTCCTAAGTCAAATAAATTTCCCAAAACTTGATATTAACATTATGGAACAAGTTGGACAGAAAAAGAATGGGTTCCAGAGGTGAAACTGATGTGGGAATGATTCATTAACAAGTATATATCAGGAATAATTCATGAGCAATCGAATCAATGTCATGAAAACCAGACCGGTCGAACCATGAATCATAATTAATGTCAAATACCATATATTTAAAGTAAATAACAAAATAAATACACACGCACGATCTATTTTTAAGACCTGTGGAGGAATACATAGAATATAACTAGAAAGCACAAAGTATGGAGCCAAAGGTATACATAGATGAATGCTGAAAGGCCAACACACAAGACAGAGAAGGCCAATTATATTCATAGGGAAAGACAATTCAAAACTTACCTACCTTCAACAAATTCAGGAAAACGAAAAACGACCATCCACTAGAATTCAAACATAGGATAAATTACCGAAGGAGGGATTCATTGTCTTTAACAGAACACACTCCAACACAAGTGAGGGAAAATCAGTCACACATGCACAGATCTTTCACCATCAGATTAGTCTCACGATATCAACTTCACCAAACAGAGATAAAAGAAAGGAACTGATTTCACCTCCAGATTTACAGCTCCTTCAATCTTTGCTTTCTTTGCTCTTGTGCTTATTCCTCCGCAGCTCTTTCTCTGTCTCTCTATTATCTGTTTATTTCTCAATCTCGCACTCCTCCGTCTTATCTGTGCACTATCTATCGTTAGAACGTAATAGCAGGGAGACAAGCTCGCTGGGGACGACGGAACTCCGTTGTTCGCCGAGTGGTGATCGGAGAGATGGGTTATGCAAACTGGAGATTTGAGGTGGGCCTAAAAAAAAAACAAGTAGGGATATGGGGCTTTCGGCCTACTAGAGTTCTGCTATTCTTTACCTCAAAAAGAAAAAAAAAAAAAAAGGGTGAGCACAGGTATTCGGTGGAACTTCCAAAAAAAAAAAAAAATGTAATTACCCAAACGGCATATATATGAGATAATTGATTAAATAGCTTAAAATCGATTTTTGTGTTAAGTTTTCTATACCTGATTCTCATTTTACCGTATTAATAATAAATAATTTGTCAATAATTCGTGTTAAATAGAATTTAACCAATTTAATAATATTAGATACAAATTCATTAATAATTTAACTTTAAAAAGTAATGTCTTTTATGGTAACTTGCATAGTTAAAATTGATTTTGACTAAATTATCTAAATATTTTTAATTTTATTAAAATTAATTTAAAAAACAGTATTCAAATATATTGCGTTATAACATACTTAATTATAATTAAAATTAATTATATTAATTAATTATTTTTATAATCAATTATATTCAATTGAAATCTAAAAAGGCTCAATCTATGTGAAATTTTAGAATTGCTGAATCAAAGTTTAACGATGGAATATGCTTATAGACCATTTTAATAGTATGTAACCTTCCACCATTTTCAAACAAGAAATTCATATCCCTTAACTAGTGATTAAGGCATCATTTCCTCATTTATTTAAACTTCTTAATATAAGATAAATTTTAAAAAAATTAATGTAAGATGACATTAGATTAATTAATTATTTTTTCAATGTTATCTTTGTTTATTTGTTATGTTTGATTATTAATAATATGATTATTAATTGTAAAGAAGGGTAAAATTGAAAAATTACATAATTTTTAACAATTTTAAGGACATAATTACAATTACAATTTTATTAATAAGCGCATAGTTGGTTAAGTGCACCTTATATTAAAGACCAAAGAAGTGTGTATGTAATAAAAATCTTATCACCATTTTTTTGAATCAACAACTAAAAAACTATATTACAAACACAAAATAAACAAAGATTACGTAGTAGTTGCTAAATTCTTGTCATTATCCGCCAACTCTTTGCTGGTAGGAGGGGATGATAAAAAATATAAAAGAAAAAATAATAATTAGAAACTTTATAAGAATATTAATAAAAATTATAATTTATAATTTATATTTTATAGATATTGAATTATTAAAATTTTAATATCAAAATTTGGTCCTTATTTGTAATTAGAAAAATGCTAATAGTTAGTTGGGAAATCAATAAAATATACTTATGATTATTTGCAATGTCATTTAAAAATTTATGAAAGGTAGTTGTGAATTTTCAATTTTCATATACAAATAATCACTTGAAAAATCAAGAAAATATATCAGGGATTATTTGTAATGTTAGTTGATAATTTATGAAATTCAGTTATAAATTACAAGCTAATCATTCATAATTTTTTCTTATCAATATATAGATAAATTACTTAAAAAATTATAAAATATATTTGAGATTATTTGTAACGTCAGTTAAAATTTTACAAGAGTTAATTGTAAATTATAAGTCAATCACTTATAATTTTTTTTGCTATTGCTTTAGAAATCAATTAAAGATACTTAGATATCTTTGTAGCATTAGTTGAAAATTTATAAAAAAAAAAACTTATTTTGAATCTCAAACCAATTAACAAAGATAATTTATTATAAATAAGGATTATAATCAGTTATTGAAATTTCATTAATTCAAAAAATATAATTTTGATTAATATTCTTGTAAGATCCTGATTATCATTACGTAAATCAGGTGATAGTCTGGCTAGCAAATGTGCACACTATAAATAGGTTCCCTTGCAGCTAAATAGAAGAGAAGTCAACCAATTCCTTTTGAATAAGATCATAGCAAGATCAATATAATGAAGTCACTGGAGGGATGGATACGTCACGGGGATACCTAATCAACCTGTTAGCTTCGACACAATAAATAATAATAGCAGCAGCAGCAGTAATAACAATAATAATAACTTAACCTTTCTCGAATCCATTTGCCAACAGTGTTGAAGGCCTTTGACAATACCCGCAATTTTAGCAATAGTGAGTGGGAGATTCTCAATTTTACAAGAAAAATCACATATCCACTCAATCTTACTAATCACCATTTCTTGTTTTATACGTTGCTTTTTATTGAAATATATGTGAAAACGAGGATTCATATAGTAGTTTATCATCTTACAAGGAACTATCTCTTTCCCAAAGGCATAAATAAAAATCTCTGTAAAAGTATCCCACCGATATTTAAGTCTTTTTTTATGTATTTAGTAAAATAGTGAGGCAAAATAATTGGAAAAAAAAATAGTGTCTTGAAAAAGATCCGTGTTAGTATGAAAAGACCTTGGTTTAGGAATCAAATTAAAATTGCAGTTAAAATTGGGATTAAGCGTGATTATTTCGTGTTGTAAATAACTTATAGAGTGATTTGGTCAAAAAAAAAAAAACTTATATTGGATCACGCTATCTTTTAGTCGCCATAATAATGGATACCACGCGTGCTTGAGTCAATCCTTTTAATTAATTTGACTTATCTTGATTCTTCGATTTAGATAAAATGGAAAGATTTCCTAATATCGTAACTTGTTTTCATATATTTACTTTTTTGATTCTCCATAATTTGTCAAAAAGCATCTCCGCGCCAGATTACCGACACCTTAACACTTTACAAGGATGTAAAATTGTAAGTTGTAAGTTGTGTCAGGAAGTTTTGATACCTAACATGGAGTTATCATAGGGATCTAATATCATGTAATGTATAACTCACAAATTTTCATATTGTTTTTTATGTTTGTGAGTTGCCAAATTATTTATCAAATAAAATAATTCTAATATTTTAATTTTTAATAAGAAATAGATTTAATTCATTCAATTTATACTGTAATCTAGTTTATTTTAGTAGAATTTAGATAATTTTAAAATTAAAACTTATTTAAATGATAGTGATTGTTATTGATACCATCATTAATATTCATTACCAAAAAAATCTTGAAACAAATGGGTAATTTGATAAATAAAATTTTCATTAAAATATCTTTATATATTTATCATTCACTTTTCATTAAATTTATACTTTAATTTGCATATATTTTAATAGCCATTTTGTGAATAAATGAAGTCATTTTTCCTATAATTTATCTTTAAATTTCATACTATTATATGTTTTATAAAGTGAAATCAATGCCATAACTTAAATGAGGCCTATAATTCATGTGATGCTTTAGGTGACGATCTTAATGGGCATGAAGGCAGCCACAGTTATATCATTCTCATTGTTAAATATTACTCTATTTTGAGTACATTATTACATATTTGGGGATAATATAATCTAGCCAATAGAAAATTGAAAACATTATATTTGAGTTTAATATTTTTTTATTTTTACATCATATTTATCACCTGATAGTGGTATCCAAGTTTTATCATTACTTCATAGGTATCATGATGAATGTTATTTTGATGTCATATTTGTTGTAGTTTTGTGTCTATATGCAGCAAAATAAGAGTCCCACATGGCTCAAGTAAAAGAAACTCCAAATATATAAATAAAAGTATTAAAAAGGAGTGGCTTTGCTTTTAAGTTGCTTCTTTCTCCCCTACCAATATGAAGGTATTAAATAGTGAATGCTATGATATAGTGAAACATTGATTATATTTGATTAAAAGTTTCAATTTTTTATTGTATATTCGACTCTTTTTTATGAACTTAATGTTGAAAGGTAAAATAGTACAAACATAATTCAAATTATATTGAAATTCTAAAAAGATATAACAAAAAAAAAAATTCAAAGTGTTGATCATTTTGAAATGGATTAGTATTATTGGAAGTGATGATTTAGAATTTCTCTTTAAGTCTATAAAAGAGAGGTTTGGGATTAGTTGTAGTGATGATTTAGAATTTCTCTTCAAATGTATTATTATTTTGATGTTATATCAGTTGTAGTTTTGCGTTTATGTATGTGTATAAAAGTTTCACATTGCTCAAATGAAAAGAATTCTAAGTGTATAAATAAAAGAAAGGTTTGGGATTAGTTGGACTTGTAGAAAAAGTGAATGCACATACACAGTAACAAACCATTTGTCCTACGCGTTAAACACAAACTAGCTTTTGAATTTTCGAGCTATTTCTTTCTTCCTCCCCTAATGTGTAGCCAATATGAAGTTATTAAATAGTAAACGCTATGATATAATAAATATTAATTATATTTCATTAAAAATTTTAATTTTTTATTGTATATTCGACCTCTTTTTCTTATGAACTTGTTGACGAAAGGTAAAATAGTACAAACATAATTCAAATTATGTTGAAATTCTAAAAAGACTATCATTTTGAAACAATATAAAAACTCCAAAGCGTAGATCATTTTGAAATGGATTAGTATTATTGGAAGTGATGATTTAGAATTTCTCTTCTTAAAAAATGGAAAATTGGAATCAAAGAGCTGTTGACAAACATATTTAAGGAAAAAGGATCTAGTAAAAAATCTGCAATTTAGGGCTCCTAATTTGGTTTTGTTCTTATTTTTTTTATTTTTAAAAATTATTTGTAAACCAATTTTTGAAATTATTTTTGAAGGTAAAAAAAATTTAAAATCTAGTTTATTATGTTAGTTTAAAAATAATTTTACAATTAAAAAAGATACTAATAATGATCATTAGTGATTAATATTGATGACTTACGATAGTAGTTTGCTAGTTGAAGGTAATATAATAGTCAAGTGTACTGATTTTAAAAATAAAAATAGAAAGAAAACAAAACAAGCCTTTATTTATCATACTTTGTATCTTTTCTTTTATTGTTCTTCATCTTTTTCATGTTCTGAATATATGTTCTTTTCCCCAAGTATAATTTTCAATAGGTCTTCAAGCGGAAGTTTCCTAAAAATGTAAGAGGTCCTCATGACAAAAATTTTAGTCGTTTAAGAGTTATATATTCTTGATTTTATTTATAGCTTACTTACAGCATATTTTATCAA